TATATATATTATAGGTTATAGATTTTTGCCCGAACTCCGGACTAAGTACTCTGAATAGTTAAGATTTTTCTACGTCTCCTATTTTACCACACTTCTCATCCTCCTTAATCTTTAGTTCATCTTCAAATCAGTACGTCTGGATAGCACAAAGTCAGTGATTTTTTTTTTTTTTTGCTCTTGAAACTAAATAAGACTCAAAAAGAAAAGATAAATACGAAAAATTAGTTCCTATGTAGAAATGCTGGTACTGGGAGTCCAGATGTGAACTGACTGAATCAGAGCCCACTCTGTTGGAGGAATGATTTCCACTGAGATGAATACAGTTGCATTTGTCTGGTGCTTAGTGACTGGAAATGGCTGCACACAGCTGTATTTTGCACTGTTATTTGTAAGCTGTGTGGACTCCAATGTGGCTCCGTGGAGGATATAGGTTAAATCAGGATGGAATTTTGTGTGCCAGCATTAGCAGAGCTTTCAGAGCACCAAAGACATAAAGCTGCTTAATTCAACCTGATGTACTTTCAATCTCCACAGTTTCAAACACAATTTATCCTTGGAGTAAGTCAATGGAAACCCTGTTACAGCTTTTATGCTCCTGGTGAATTTAACCTAATGTTTACTATGTCTTAGAAAGTAGGAATCTTTTTATGTGACATCTTAGACCTGATCCTTGCTCTTAAGCATTTAAAGGCTGGCCAGCAATGTTGGACTACATTTAGGAATATTCATGGAAGAAAACACCTTAATCTTCAAACTTTATCTCTCTCATTTGTAGAATGTTGCATATTGCTGTATTATTTTTTGCACCGTCATTCATGTCTGATGAGTGTCAGAAACATGGGTTTTCTCTTTGATTTCCTGTATAGGAATATCTTTAATTTCATTGACTAACAAGGAAAGTCAGGTAAGTCTGGCAATAATGTGGCAGCTGTACCATGCTGCTTCTCTTCTGCAGTCTGCTTGACTACAGAATGGAAGTACTTGCTTTAAGTCTGACTCATTCTATGGCATATGACTTCACTTATCAGTGGTACAGCTGCTCACTTGTCAGTTTGTGACTTACAGACTTCTCTATACTCTTGATTTCACATGCACAGAGCTTTTGTTACTGCAGTGGATAGCATCTGGTTTATAATCATACCGAAATGGCCATATCAAGGGCAGATCACACTTGTAGACACAATTCATGCCTGAAGAGTTGACAGTCTCGTTGATGCCAAGTTATAACTGAAAAAACTGTTAAGGAATGTTGTGAAAAGGGAAAGCTGAATTTAATTACTCCAGTGCTGGAAAGATTGTGCAGTAGAATGTGCTATATTAGTTACATACTCTACTATGTTTTCAGTTATTTAATACCAAGATGAACAAAACAGATATGAACAGCAACTAACGTTTCCATTTAGTTGTTTATATACTACCTGTTTTGGGGGAAGCAAGGATATAAAGGGCTCATCTTCAGAAAAAAAAAATTGCTTGTTACTTCTGCTGGTTATGAAGTGACTTGATTCTTTTTTAAATCAGTCTTTCTCAGTTACTCAAGGTAAGAGAAACTTGACCATGAAGGTAGGAGTGATTGAGACCCATCACTCTCATGTGACTGTTCCCAGTGTGGTAGTGCAAGATACAAGTGAGGACCCTGGGCCAATGGTCAAATGGGGAAACAGGTGTGTCAAATTTACTGTTTTTTCTCTGTTTGCTTTTTTCTTTGATAACTTGCATAGGATTAACTAACCACAGGTACTTGCTGTTAAGTTTTATGGCTGGGCTGGCCACTACACAGATGAGAGATGCTCTCAAACTCCTCTTTAGCAGTGACCTTGGTCACTACAGGAGCAAGTATCAGCAAGAGCCTTTCTGCCTCCCAGTCCCAGGCAGTAACTGTAACATCAGGTGTTATCACTGCCAGTAGCACACACTGTCTGCAAAAAGCTGCTGCTAACTTCAGAAAGCGCAGCCTCTTAGAAGAGACTGAGCTGAAAAGTAAAATCCCTGAAAAGAATTCATTCTGTTTAGCTCAGACTGGGACATGTGTCACCATCTAATTTTCTTCACTCTCTATTAATAAATTAAGATTGTGATATGTTCCTTATTGCAAAAATGTAGATTAAAATCTGTGCTCTTTCAATTTACTTAGATAACTTAGCCCATTATTAAAATGGTGAGATACAATCTGTGACAATTTAGATTGTTGGGTTTTTTTTGTTTCAGCAGGTATCATATAACTGTTATTTTGCTGTTCCCTAGGCAATGGTATCTACCTGGTGCACTTGCACGCTACAACATTAACAACAATAGTAATAAAGATGAGTAAGTATCTTTGCCATTTCATAAAATGAGAGTACTGCAATACTGATTGTTTAAGCAGCAATGAAGAAGAACGATACATATAAAATCATTTCTTTATAAACAGCTATACCATTCAAGTAAACCACGTACATTTTAACAGCATGCACATCAATTATGATGATCATTCTCAATACTAAAGTTATTGGCTTTATATCTATTAATTTAAAATGTAGTACTATGTGAATACAATAAGCAAAACAGTTTTTGAAAGCCAAGCACCTAAGTATAACGTTATGCTCACTGAATTCAGATGATTCTAATAAATAAATGTGGAAGTAAGGGCTATGTGCATCTCATGAGCCTGTCATATTTGTGTTTTTCTTAGAGAGAAGAAAAAGAAAAAAGAAAAGAAGAGGTAAGATGGAGTAATAATATTATTATTTCTAATACATTTAATTTCTTTCCAAATATGTTTTAACTTACTCTTAACAACCAAAAATGTAAATCTATTTCTTAGCAAGTCAGAAAAAAATAAGGATGGAGGAACACAAAAGAAGGAAAAAAAGGAGAAAACCAAAAATAAAGATAAGTCCAAGAAGAAAGAAAATAAAGAGGAGTAAGTATTTTTCATTTAGGTCCTGCTATGTTAGTCTAATTGCTTCTGATGTAAAACTGAATCCATTCATGGACATCCTGTAAACAAGATGCTTATACTCTAGTAACGAGTGTACACACTCTTATTGTTCACCCTCCAGTTGTTTTGATTTAACTTTGTATGTGGACAACAGAAATAAGCATGTATGGAATTGATCTGAAAAAAAAATAGAAAAAAATAATCTAGAAAAATCTCCTTTGGATTCTGATTAGCCAATATCTTTTTTGATAATAACCTGCAAAAGAAAGATGTGCCAACTTAAAGCAACCTCTGCTGCATATAAGAACACCTACAAGCAAGTAAACTCCTCTATGATCTAGAAGTTCTTGCTTTACCTTTTTCTTGGTAAATTCATAATTTTTGGGCCAAGGAAGAGTAACTAAACTAGTCCAGTATGAACTTGGTTTAGATTTCTCATTCTTTGGTTTCTTTATGTAAACTATGCCAATGTTTCACCTTTCTCAGAGCTAGACTTTTCCCAGTGAGAAAGGCATGATTTGTCTCACTTACTTAAACATTGCTAGTAACAATCTTTTTATTTTTTGAAATATGATCATATCAATTATCAGATAAGACAGTTAATTGGCTAGGAAACAAGTTCATTTAAAAAGGTTGAAATTACATGTGCCTCTATCAACTGAAGTGGGGCTGCCAAGCTGATGTTGCTGAGCAAAATTTAAATTCTAAATTTTGTGTCTCAAGACACACCTAAAAAGTACCTCCATGTTCTCTATGCATTCAGACAGGGAAGCCTAACTTGAATAATAACAATTTCTCGAATGCTTCCTTCCTCAAAAATTGTTTTGTGGATTTTAAGTGTCTCATTAAATATCCTTTTTTTCCTGCTTATCACTTAGGAAGAAGAAAGATATTTTCATTATAGATCCAGCAGGAAATGTGTATTACAACTGGTTGTTCTGCATCACAATGCCTGTCATGTACAACTGGACCATGATTATTGCTAGGTGATGACTCTTTTATGACTGTAAAGCTTCTGGCAAATCATAATATCCCTAAATAGATAAAAATATTTTGTTCATCACTGATTTCCTGAAAGTATTTAATTTTCGTTTCATGGTAACTGACTTTTGTCATTTCCTATTCAGAGCCTGTTTTGATGAGCTTCAGCACGACTATTTAGTGGCATGGTTTATTATTGATTACATTTCTGATGCCATCTATGTTGCTGACATGTTTGTACGGACAAGAACAGGTAAGTATACTCAATGGGTAGCCATTCCTCCTCATATACTTGTGTCAGATGGTTTAAAATATGCAGAGTACTACTACTCTTATTACCTGGCTACCCTTGATGAGGTGCAATAGTGAAAAAAAGACACTGAGATAGATCTCTGAAAGACTAGTCTGTAACCTGCAAAAATAGAGGAAACTACATAAAGCCTGAGGTAAGCGAGGCATGAGGTAAACCAGATACAAACTGTTCTGCCTGCAGCTGACTCAACAAGACAAAATAAACATGCAATGTGGCCATGCATCAGGGGTTCTGAAAAATTAGCACCTAGATCTGGATTTTGTATTTAAGGAGATTCAAATATTTTCCTGATTTTCAAGACCATTGAGCAAGCAAGGCATCCAAATTAATGTCAGCTGCAACTATTTCTTTTAAAATCTTATCCTGCGTTCAGAGCTAATAAGTAGATACACTCAATACGGAGCTGAAATTGCCATATTCAAATTCTTTACTCTCATGAACCACCTCTCCTATAGCCTGTGGAGTTTTTTGAGGGGTTGGTTGTTCTTTTTTTTTCAGATATTCAACAGAGTGGAAAAGCAGAGGGAAAGAATCAGAGCTAGACATGTTTAATTTTCAACGCTGTATAGTTTAGCTCAAGCTAAACTACAGGAAATAAGGAAATAAGAAATTACTTGTTAAAAAGTAGAAGAATTTATGTACCATCTGGAATTTGTACCCAAAATATTTTTCAAAGTATATTTGGATTGATATCAAACACAATACAGTTGAAATCATAACATTTTTTATTATTGACAATTTGATTTTAGGTTACCTGGAGCAAGGTCTTCTGGTGAAAGAAGAACAAAAGCTTCAAGAGAAATATAAGGCATCTTTCCAATTCAAATTAGATTTTCTGTCAATCATACCAACTGATCTCTTATACTTTAAGTTAGGACTGAATTACCCAGAATTAAGAATAAACAGACTACTGAGAGTAGCTCGGATGTTTGAATTCTTCCAGCGAACAGAAACAAGGACAAACTACCCAAATATCTTCAGAATCTCTAACCTTGTCATGTACATTGTGATTATTATCCACTGGAACGCCTGCGTGTACTACTCAATCTCAAAAGCCATTGGATTTGGGGCTGACACATGGGTCTACCCCAACATCTCCGATCCTGAATTTGCCCGTCTGACTAGAAAGTATGTCTACAGTCTCTACTGGTCAACATTGACGCTAACTACTATCGGGGAAACACCTCCTCCTGTAAGAGATTCTGAGTATTTCTTCGTGGTAATTGACTTCTTGGTTGGAGTATTGATTTTTGCTACCATCGTTGGTAACGTGGGCTCTATGATCTCCAACATGAATGCTGCCAGGGCAGAGTTTCAAGCAAGGATTGATGCTATCAAGCAGTATATGCACTTTCGGAACGTGAGTAAAGACATGGAAAAAAGAGTTATAAAGTGGTTTGACTACCTGTGGACAAATAAAAAGGCTGTGGATGAAAGGGAAGTCTTGAAGTATCTGCCAGATAAACTAAGAGCAGAGATTGCAATCAATGTTCACCTGGAAACACTAAAAAAAGTTCGAATTTTTGCAGACTGTGAAGCTGGTCTGTTGGTTGAACTGGTTTTGAAGCTCCAGCCTCAAGTATACAGTCCCGGAGATTATATTTGCAGAAAAGGAGATATTGGGCGAGAGATGTACATTATCAAAGAAGGCAAGCTGGCAGTAGTCGCTGATGATGGAATTACCCAGTTTGTGGTCCTTAGTGATGGCAGCTATTTTGGAGAAATCAGCATTCTTAATATCAAAGGTAGCAAAGCTGGCAATCGAAGAACAGCCAATATTAGAAGTATTGGATACTCGGACTTGTTTTGTCTGTCGAAAGATGATCTCATGGAGGCTTTAACAGAGTATCCAGATGCAAAGGCTATGCTGGAAGAAAAAGGCAAGCAAATCCTAATGAAAGATGGGTTGCTCGACATTGAAATTGCAAATTTAGGAAGTGATCCTAAAGATCTGGAAGAGAAGGTCACCTACATGGAAAGAGCAATGGACAGATTGCAAACAAAGTTTGCCAGGTTGTTGGCTGAGTATGAAGCTGCACAACAGAAACTGAAAAAAAGGCTTACACAAATTGAGAAAATATTGAAGCCAGTTATAGAGCAAGAATTCACAGACTTAGGAGAAGCAGATCCATCCACAGATAAACCTGGAGTGTCAAAACCAGAATAAAACACCGGAGGTTGCCAATAAGACTTAGGGTCAAATCCTGCATGGCACTGAGTACATTAATTTGTAATCTTTGTAGGACCTGACTATTAATTTTGAAAAATTATTTGTTCAGGTGATGTCACTAATTTCGTACAAGCAGCACATATTTGTTGGGTTTCGGGAAGAAAAGAACTGAGGATGGAAGACAACACCTTGCTCTTGCACAAACAGGAGGTATTATCTGCTAATGCGTTATGTGCCGCTTATGTAACACTGCTTGACAGCAAATGCATTCAATTTATATATAGTCATATGCTGGTGAATATTGAAAGTTTTGCTGAGTATTTTAAAACTATTTCCATGTGTCTGTTTATGGAAAGAAGGAAAGGTTTGGAAATTATATTATCTGAAGTCAATATAGGCAGGAACCATGGTATTAAATTTGTATATAAACAAACACCTTTTAGCATCTATTGATTAACATAAGATTAATTAAGTGTGGAATATTATATAAAAACTTAGGTGTATCTACGATGCAGATGCAAGTAGTGAAGTCTGTAAGATTTGGAACATTATTATTACTTCATTGGGTCCACCTTGGCTGATTTCTTGAAATGATTTTAGATGGTCCTTTTTTGGGGATATTACATGCAAAGGCTGGAATAAAGAGGGGAAAAAAATAAAAATTTTTGTAAGCATTGATATGACTAATACAGATGCATCGAAATCTAGCTGTTCTTTCCACAGGAATAACAAATACATAAAGCTGAAGACTGTGCTGCTTCATGTAATCATATGGCTGCTAAACATCGACTATCAAGCTTCTAAGATTTGTCCTTAAAAATATTCATGTCCCTAATGTAACAGTTGTGGATGTTGACAGAATGCAAGGGGCAGACATGACAGAAGGAGGTGAAACACTACCTGTGGTGTCTTTTGTTGGGTTATTTTTCATCGATAGGGTATTCCTTTCTTCTATTCATAACTACTACTAAGATAGTAAAATCTACCATTTCATATATCAGATACATTTCCAACTGCTTTAAGAAGTATTATCTCCTTGGATTTTTTTTTCCCCTGACATGTCTTTTTCCATTGGCAAAAAATGGTTTTATTAGTTGTGGTCTGAGCTGGGCATTTTCAGCTGGGTATTTTCAGTAGACTTGGATCATATCCACTTAATGTTGGAAGAGTTTGATGACAGGGAGTGAAGAAAGCAACTGCAAGGAAAGAATGGATAATTCCCTATTTAGAGCAATTTGATTATCCTGAGCAATCAGACCGCCCCTCTTAAACATGTAAATGTTACGATCACTTGATAATATCTCAGTACCTTCATTCTTCTCCCTAATAAGAAAGAGGTATTATAAACTTGTTCTTTTGTAAAGTGCATTCATTTCTAGCTGTTTCATTTTTTTGTAATGCTGATAGGTTTCCAGAATGCCAGACCTATGAATAACTCCTGATTTCACTGCCAGGCTTAGATGTTATTATGTAATTAATGCATAGGATATATATGGAACAAGGATAAATGTAAATATGAAGTGACTGTTCATTCACTGTTGATCCTGCGCTTTCAATGACAGATGGCACAATGTGCTTGTGAGGGGGAAGAGTATGCCATCAATTCATTAACAACTCTACCTGTGCACACAAGAACAAGCATTACTTTGGCATTTAACTGTATTGTGAATGTTGTTTGCAATCAGCATTCTTCCAATTCAGGTCTATAATATAATTTGCAATCTGTATGGCAGCAGCATCCTATAGGGCTCTGCCATATTTCACTAGGCACTTAGGAGCTGCTTTTCTCCTTTATGAAGAATCTAAGACCTTATATTAGAGAAATGTGTGGTAAGAGTTTTAATTAATAAAGGCAGAGATCTACTGTTCACATTCTTTTATTTTGCTGATCCTTCAGTCTATCACACAAATTGTAGTCAATAGCTGCCTCTTCTCTGAGAATAAAATTTGATTTAAACCACTTCAAACAAAAATTGACCTCCAGTAGTTTACTTATTATTTTCAGACACTATGATGGGCAATCTTCTATTGTTTAACTTTTGTAAGCATGTATTTGATGAAAAAAACCCTACTAAATGTGGAGTTTCATCCGGACACAAGACAGAACCTAAGTGCTTTCAGGAAACATCAACAAAAATAAAACTATTTCAACTTGCACTTATTTCTCAGAACTTTACAGGGAAGCACACAGGTTCCTCGATATGTATTTCTGTGCAGTAAAACCTTCTTGATATACTTCAGTAAAGTCTCTGAACACTCTTTGTAGCCCATTTTTTACCACGTACGCTGTGTGAACACTTATCCTTGAGAAAGCTGAAGGGAGACCTCGTTGCTCTTTACAACTGTCTGAAAAGAGGTTGTAGCAAGGTGGGGGTCACTCTTTTCTCTAACAAGCAAAAGGACAACTGGAAATGGCCTCAAGTTGCACCAAGGGAGGTTTAAATTGGGTATCAGGAAAAATTTCTTCACGGAAGGGATTGTTAAGCACTGGAACAAGATGCCCAGGGAAACGGTTAGGTCACTACCAAGTTAAAGTATTTAAAAGATGTGTATCATAAAATTATAGAATTGTCAGGGTTGGAAGGGACC